AGGGAAGTAATGGCCTTTGATTAGCTCAGATGATCTAATGAACATCTCATCGTAGATGAGCCGGGCTACATCAAAATCCTGGTGTGTCATAAAACAATAGATAGCCGCTACCCGTGGCCCATTAACATAAGTCGTGTTGCAGGAGGGTAGCAAGAGGGTGCTAAAAATGGTGAGCCAGCACTTTGCCTCCCAATTAAGGGACTGTGAGTTCAAAGTGATCAGATGTTTTATCCATATAAATGACTTGTCAGGGATACAGATGACATCAAGAATTGGTGTCCAATAAATCTTTGGGCGGTGATGATCTATATAAGCATCCATCTCACCCGTGAATGCTGGGAGGCGATACACCCGGCAGATGGCCTCGAGGGACGCATTTACCTGGGTATTGCGCACAGTAACAACCCCATTCTCATGTTCCAGCAAGTTCGCATAAAACTCCCTCACCATCTGAACATTAGCCTCCTCCGGTACCTCGAAAAAGATGTCCATCTGACACCTCCTCAACTCATTGAAGATATTCGGGCACTCCACCTCTAAGGCTGCCCAGTCAATATGCACCTCATGTAGCAACTTCTTAGCTGCCTTTGCATTGCACCTATCCTCCGCCGGTTTGGATACAAACCTAGTGCTGTCAAACTGTGGCGCACTGGCTTGGCTCCTAGCTCTCGAGGAGCCTCCCGGTCCACTAGCGGAGGACCCAGTGTTGCGTCTCTTCCTAGATGAACTCATTGTACCTGTCAAATAGAGAAACGCCTATTAGTGAGTGTGTGAAATATGTGACTATGGGTGGTTACTCAGACTTTACCACAACCATGTCACATTAGCCCTTATAACTCCATTGGAGCAATTTCCCAAACACCTTGTAGGCAAGGCACTATCCTAACACATATCGCCCTCATGGGTACATCAAAACTTCTCCCAAATCAAAGATACTACTACACCATCACACCCCATAATACTTCATTCAACACCCACCAACATATAACTTTCCACCGCATTAAACACACAGCCCCTTCACCAATCAATCTCAAAAACGAAATTCAAAAGAAAAACAAGAAGAAACTAACAAAAATTTACTAACAATTACTACACCATTACAACATTAAACTAGCATAAACTACAACAAAATACAAAAAGAAAAGAGAAAGGGGAGTGAATAGCATACCTTAATGGAAGAAAAGTTGAGAGGAATGGAGATGAAGGAGTAGTATGAGTGAAGAAGAAGAAGAAGAAGAAAAAGAAAAGAGGGGGATTTTTTTGGGAGTTAGGGTTTAGAGAGAGAGATATGGAGAAATAGGATAGGGGATCGGGTATTTTAGTAAAATAAAAATGGGGGGGGGG